GGGCTAATACGGCGATTTTTAAAATTTCGTATCTCGATAACTATTCGTCCAAGCGCAAAATAGTACAGGACTTTTCTGTTTGTCTTAGTCCCCTGTACCTTCCCATGACCGGAAATCAATATGTTGCGTAGCACTCTGTATTTAAGTACATTATTGTATTGTTGCATGCATAGCCATAGTTTTACTATTATATACTTTCTTCGGTAAACGGCCTCTGGAATTCCCTATTCGAAGTCGAAATCGAATAAAGCGTGTCATTATTTTAAGTTTTATATTGTGACAGGTTTTTAAAGTTTCGCATGCAATATCCTTCATTTTTTCCTGAAAAAAATTAACTAAATCATATTTATTCGTATCAAAATTCGTTTGTAGATATGGTAAGTATTGCCTGATAATTATTTCCATTTGATAAAAGTACTCAAATGTTGTGTTATTAGCGAAAAAAAGCGTATTACGTCGAAAAGATTTCAACTGCACAAACTTTGCAAATTTTAAACCCGGTTTATATGTCAGAGATCCAGTAGAACTTAAACATAATTCACAAGAAATATTATTATTCGAAATACGGGAGAGAATATACCCGGCAATGTTATACAATACGTTCATTTCAATGACCCCTATGTGTATTTCTTTCGTTGACAAATCAGGAACAGATGGTAACTGTTTTTTCCTTTCTTTTGTCTTAGACCTACTCAAAAAATCACCAGTAATAATTCTATCATCTTCTTCATAGCTAGAATTATGTACTGGTTTTAAATATTTTGATATGGCGATAATTTTCAAATTTTGCTTAAATTGTACAGAATTTGGACTGGGTTGTTTAGCTCTGATACAAGAAAATATATTTTCAACACAATCTGACGTTAACCGGCCTGCTAGTACATATATGTAGATAGCCTTTTTCATTGATTAAATAAGTCGACAATTCAATTATGGACTTGGTAGTGATAATGACTCCACGTTGCACAGGTTTGAATTGCATAGAATTTCCAACTGTCATTTCTTGAAAAAGTTCTATAATCGATTTTAAAAATGCAATTGATTCTTCAAATTTCTTTTCGGAAAATTCATCTCCTGATGTCTTCCCTAGTGCAATGTTTGGAGTACGTGAAGTCACCAACGTGAACCATTTTGAAACGACTTCAATAAAAAAGGCTGTCGTACAGAACGCTTGCTTGGAATTTTGAGTCGCCAGAAATTGTAGGCTAGCACTAACGTTACGAGATAAAAAATTTTTGGCTTTATTAAATTTCATTTTATTGAAAGTGCCACTCGAAAAATCGTCTACTTTTATATTCAGCACTAGTTTTAACTGTAAATTTTCTTGAAATTCAGTAAGTTCTCTTACATGCAAACACTCAACGACAGAAGATGACAAATTATTATCATTAATGATTTTCGCAGGCAAAGTAATAATTTTGTTATTAATCATACAAAATTTTAGATTCTTCAAAAGATGACCAGGATCAGCAATAAACCAAAGCTTACGATTATTATCAATAGGATGCGTAACTGAGTTCATTACTGTCGAATAACGTCCAGCAAAATCAACAAAAAATTTACGCCACATCGCTAAATTATTCGGCCCCATGTCGTTTGTAATATTGTGTATGTAAAGTCCGATAGATTCACCTTTTTTAATAATTTCAAGTGCGATAGGTTGTAACAATGCTCCATCATAGCTGTCAGGTGTTAAATAAAACGCAACATTTTGTTTCTAGCGTGAAAAGATACCAGCAAGCACAAAAATCAAACCATGCGTAGCTTCAACTTTTTCTCCTACATGCATGAAGAAACACAAGCAAAAACGAATTATATACACAAAATAGGAAACAATGTAGTATTATATGCATTTATGAGTGCAAGATTTAGTAGTTTTCGGGATCTGTTACAAAAAAATCAATAATACCAAATGCTAACCAAATACATATGAACTTGTTATCAAACCACATACCATTACGCGTGCAAAACGATGCAGTTCCATAATACGACTGTGTGGATGGATCAAATTTTTAGCCTGGAGCAATAGACATTTCATCTAATACAAGTGAACAGTCTTTTTCTCTAACGTCTTTAAATTGAGCAACTTTATCTTTTAGTAATTTAAAAATGTCGTCACAAATTCCCTCCTGAAATTGAATTTTTTCCACTTTCCTTCGAAGTGTACGTTCGCATGGCAGAGGCAGGTTTTCTTTCAGTAATTCCTGATAGCCAGTAGAACCACAGGAAAATTTCAATCGAAGTGCCTTTTTTATGGTATCATTAGACCACATATGGCCGCGAGAGGATCGACGCATGAGTGCTTCTATTTGATCATCATTAAAAATTTGTTTCAGTGCTAATTTTAATCTCACATAATTTTGGTCCTTTGAATTGTTTTTTATTTGTGTCAACCTCTTAATATGCTTTTTTAACATATTTTTAGATCGGTTACTTTTCAAGATAATTTTTTGGGCCAAATCAAGTTTTCTGTTGACTTCTTCCAGCTGTTTCTTTAATCGTTCAACCTCATTCAGTTCTTCGTTGCATATTTCTTTTGAATGAGTAGGACTAGAGGGATCTACAAGATAATATAAGAAATATAAGTAATTATAAATAATAATGAATAATCCGTATGGTCGAAACATTGGAATCTAATAAATAAAACCATCTGCCAGCCTAACGTCGTTTAACAATTCTTTCTAC